CACTCCAGCCAGCAGATAATAAACTAATTACCTCAGCAAACTAGTTGCTATTTTTTAATATATACCAGTTACAAATTTAATGGTATCAATATGTTTATAGCTGAACCAAAAAAATTACTTTTTTGCAATAAAAACTTCAGTACCAGGGCCGTCCCGAAGAGGTCTTCCGTGGGTGTGTGTGTGTGTGTGTGTGTGTGTGTGTGTGTGTGTGTGTGTGTGTGTGTGTGTATTTTTTGACAACTATAGACCAAAAAAAAAAAATCCTCAATATTTCCAATTTGCCAACTATAGTTCAAAACTTGCTCAATGTGTCAACTCAAATGCTTATATGATAGCTTTGGGGGTGGTAGTGGAACACCCCCTACATCTCCCGAAATAGCCCTGTTCAGTACAATCAATAATACAAACAGTCTTGAAATTTTTTATCAAAAATGTTTTTGATAAAAAATTTCAAGACCGTTTGTATTATTGATTGTACTGAACATTTAAGAAAATTTAACAAGAATTAAAATATTTTAACAAGTTGTTGTGTAGCTAGTTACTCAAAAAGATGTGAAAACTAATGTGGATTTAAAGTGTAATTTGGAAAATCAATTTTTTAAAAGTAGAAGACGTAAAAACTGAATTAAAGCTAATTGATTAGCCTAATCCATCTGATTTCATAACTCTAATTTCTAGTTCAGGATAAAAAATTGGAGTTATGAAATCAGACGAATTAGGCTAATCAATTTGCTTTAATCCAGTTCTTATGTCTTCTATATGTATACACACGCACACACACTAGCATGCAAAAGTTTATAAATAGCAAAAAATTTATAACTTAAAAAGTTTTAACTTTTTTCCTTTTGACCAAAAATATATGAAGTTTTTACCAATTATTCCTCTGTGACTACAAAATATAATTAACTCTAAGAAAATGATAAATTGTAAGAGAAAAAAGAACTTTAAAGTTTATTGAAAACATAACATAATGTTTATAAAAAAATTCATAAAATAGATATCATTTATAATTAATTCATATTTTCTCACTACAGAGGTAGACCAGTATAATCACAACTGAAAGGTCCCTAAACCATTACATTGCCACCACCATGTTTAACTGTTGGTATTTGATACTTTTGCTTTTTGGATGAATTACATACTCAATATCATCCCTACCAAATATGAAAAACTTTGATTTGTAACAGAATAAGACTTTTGACTATTCTTTTTAAGTCCAATTCAAATGATCTTTTGTACATTTCATTTAGGCTAAGCACTTCTTTAATAATAATAATGATTTCTTGGCAGAATGTCGACCAAAAAAAGGATGATGACATAGGCTGCATGTTGTTGTATCCTGCATTTAACACTAAACACAATTCTTGCCTAACACTTAACAACTTGCTCAAAATGCCATTTAATTTGACAGCATTTTTGCAAGGATCTTGTTTAGATTGTCTTATCAAAATTTTATCTTGATGTCCATTGTTTATCTTTGGTCTGCCTGAACAATGCTTGTTTTTAAGTGTTTTATGGTCTCTAAACTTCTTTACTAATATGCTAATTGTTGATTTAGCCTCATCTTAAAGCCAAGTAATTTGCTTATAGGGAATTTTTTAAAATTATCTTTGGTAAATATGTAAATATAATATGAAATATTTTATTTACATATATTATTTATTTATAAAAATGAATGACCAAAAAAATGGAATTAATGACCAAAAAATGAAAATCAAATCAAACTTCCACTTAATTTATCCTAATTTTCATGTTTATCATATTATGAGGTTCTAAAATCTTACAAAACATCTTACAAAAATTAAAATAAAAATCTTCTATTTTGTCTTAAGTTGTGTGTTTTTTACTTAAAAATTATACAAAAAATCTTACTTTTTTTTGGGAAACAATGAAAAATCAATCACATAAAAATCAAAACATTCGAAATGCAAAAATCTGTTTCCCAAGCTACTTCATTTAAATGGGTTTCATGGTTGCTAGTTTCAATTGATTAATTGAAACTAGCAACCATGATAAGACTTAACTTCACTGTTGAGTCTTCATCAATAGTGTAGAATGCATCAGGTCCTAATATAAATAAAGTAAAATTTTAATTTTCATCTCAAGTGTAAAAAAGTTAAAAGACAAAACAAAATATGAAAAACCAAATTACCTATATGCACACTTCTTAGAGGTAAATACTTTGACATGGGGATGGTTTGGATGGGGATTGATTATTGTGTTATTTTTTTGATTTTGGAGATAATTATCCATGTAGTTGCTTGACAAGTTTTTAACAAGGCCATTGAAAGACTTTCAAAGCTAGTAAAGTTACAAAATTTTATATTAAAATATTGTATTGAAGTCTGTCAGCATACCAAGTATGTACTCTATAAATTCTAAGTACGGCTTTAGACAGTGGATCAAAAAAATCAAATCATTTATCGCTTTTGGATTTGTTTTACATTCCTTTTCAAAATATGACATAAGAGCAATTAGCTACTCCCAAATTCTGCAAACTGGATTGTGCATAATATGCCATCTTATTTAGTCTGGCTTTTAAATGAAATGTTTCAGACATTCTGTGTATTCTTGTAAATCCTTAGTTTCAGTCCTCCTAATAGTGCTGTAGGCAAAGTAATTAATCACCCCAGATCTTCTAGGTACTACTAGATCTTCAAGCAGGCTTTAGATAAACCAAGTTGAATACAATGGCAGGATTGTGTCTGCTAAACATAGTGTTGCAGACATCTGCACAAAATTAAACAACCATACCCATACTGGTTCTGTGATTTGGTAACAAAGCTAGCATAGAATCCATCAGTGACAGAAACAGTGCGGTTCCATCTTGAATCTCCACCATGTCAAGTAGCTTAACCATGACACAACCAAGACTGACATCATAATACTGGATCATGGCAGCCAGTTTCTGTTTAACAGAGATCTTTGTTGTCTCATAAATGACAATTGAAACATAAGTATTTTTCAGTGTAGCTACAAGTTCTTGTAGTAGGTAGATTCCCAATCCTGCAAGGAATTAAATAGTTAATCAAGGTTGCAGTTAATCAAAATAGTTAATCAAAATGCTGTTGAAATATGTTGAAAATAATTCTTACAAATTCAACAATACCTTATAAGGTTTCAGATTCTTTGTTTTGCGCATGGCATAAGACAAAGACTTTGAAAGATTTGCATGGTCTGCTGATAACACTTTCACCACATGCACCATTTCATTGGCCAAGGATAAAGGCAAATTGTTCTAAACAATAAAAATGTCTACTCTAGATTCTAACTTCACCACAGTTATATCACTGGTGCATACTTGATAGTTAGCTATTGGTTTTTGTAACTGTTCATTTTCTGATAATTTCATCATGTCAATTTTATGAATGGCTGTATCAGAATGTCTTTCTATTTTTGCTCATCAAAATTTGTTGCATATCTAAATCACAATATCTGAATCAGAATTAAACAGGGTTGTTACATTATCATACAGATGTTGCATTATTGTAATAATGTTTTAACTTATGTTTGAGATTTTGGGTTTATCTGCTATATTACACAAACTATATATAAAGTTTAACTCTCTTGGCAATAATCACAATCATCATTAAAACTTTCATGAAATATAATATACACAAATTTTAACTCTCTTGATAATTCTTAATAATTATAATGAATTTGATAAGTTAACATTAAATATAATGTAAACTCACCAAATTCACAGTAGTACAATAGATTTATACAGTAAATTCAGAAATTTGTGAAAATATTTTTATTTCAAGTAAATTTACATTTACAAAAATCTTACAAAAATCATGAAATCTTATGTAAAACCAAAAATCATAAATATCAAAAAAAGAAGTAAAATATCCTTCAAAATGTGATAAATCATACAAAGTAGAAACACTGCTCTTCATAATCCTTTGCACAATTGTGTTTCAATAAGATTTTAATTTCTTCTATCTTTTATTATTTTTTTGAATTGATTATTTAGTATAATTAGAGGAAAAATTGCTAAAAATTTCATTTTTTTTCAGTGAAAATTTAAAAAGAAAAACTCAAAAATTTTATCCATTTAAAAACATTTGAATGCTACTTTACATACAGTAGCAGTATATATGTGTGTATATATATATGTATATATATATATATATATATATATATATATATATATATATATATATATATATATATATATATATATATATATATATATATATATATATATATATATATATATATATATATATATATATATATATATATATATATATATATATATATATATACTGGTAGCATGGTAGTCAGAAAGAGTTTCCCATAAACTGTAGTTTTAAAGAGCACGATAATAAACCAGACCAGAAAAAGCTTAAAAACTTAAATTTTTTTTTTTTTTTTTAATGATAGACTGCCTGCCCAAGCCAAACCCTCAGTCGATGTAGCAGCACTCCGTTGCGAGTCAGGCTGTTTGTCAGTCGATGTAGCAGCACTCCCTTGCGAGTCAGGCTATAAGATAGTCAATGTAGAAACACTCCCTTGTAGCAGCAGGCTATAGGATAGTCGATGTAGCAACATTTATGCATGTTTTAAAAATGTTTTTTAATAAAACAAAAACAAAAACACCACTAATTAAAAAAAACTTTCTAGTCGTTATTATTGCGGTTTTTTAAAATTTTTTTAAAAAACAATAAAATTTAATGTACTTCCCGCATTAATTTAATTGCTTTGACATTTCGACAACAATCAAATACAGCTTAAGAGACGAGCTAATTAAAATTGTAGTCGAAAGAGACTTTTTTTACATTAAAAGACTCTTTCGACTACACTATAAGGATATATATATATATATATATATATATATATATATATATATATATATATATATATATATATATATATATATATATATATATATATATATATATAATATATATATATATATGTATATATATATATACATATATATGTATATATACATATGTATAATTTTTTATAAATAATAATAATTTTTGAAATAGCAATTTATAATCGCCATGGCATGTTTCATAAATCTTTACATCAGAGAGAGATCCAAGTTAAAGGATACCGAAAGATCTTAGGAATTCATCCCTACACGGCAAAAATATTGCAATATCATGCTGAATGTTTTTTAAAATTACAAGAGTATAACCATGCAGCTTTGTGTTGTCTTGTTTCTTATCAAATGTATTTAAAAATTGAGGGAATAGCATTTACTACTATGAAAGTTCTTTCAATATACGGAAAAGTGTTAATAAATAAAGGAGCTGTGCAAAATGGAATAGAAAAACTTCAGTTAGCTATTCAAAATTTAGAAGATCTTTTTGGAGAACATGATTGTGTTGCATCATGTTATGAACAATTAGCTGACGCCGAAGAGAAAATTAATCCTAATAATAATAACATTTTGGCACTTAGACTCAAAGCATCAGAAATTCGAAAACAGTTTAATGAAAAAATTATCGGAATGGATACTTATAACAGTGTAAAAAAGTTTTCATCTTCAAACTCCAAAATCTCTATATTAAGTAAACCCAAGTATTTTACATTTTGCAAACCTTTTTTATTGTTTTTTATTGGTTTTATTACTGGAGTTTTTTTTTGCAAACTTTTTTTTTGTGAGCCTCATTAAATGGAAATAATTCTTAATAGAAACATTATAAAAATGATCATACTGCTATTAAGTTACATAAAACAAATTAATAAGTTTTAACTTTTAAGGAGTATTTAGCATTTAGAGTGTTTAATATTATCATATTACAAGTATTTATGTTTATATTTATTATATGCCAATTAATTGTAAAGATTGTAATGTTTAATCAATAAAATATTTTTTTTTTAATATTTTATACACATTAAGTTAAATAAACAAATTACAGATCAAGATTTGAATTAGATGTATTTGAATTTTAAGACAAACTAACAATTGAAGACATAAGTTGATGAAGAATGTTACTTTAATATAACTGAGATATCTGGAATTAAATTTTTGAACACATTTTGGTCTAGATATTTTTCTATTGCAAAGATATGTAAATATTTTGTAGCAATACAGTAATCAAAATAGTATTATTAATAGATGATCTTCATTTACTTATGTCTTTAGTTTATATTTTAACATCATTTATATTATTGTGGGTGTATTTATGATAATTCAAACTTAAAATGTTAAATCATTTTAAGAAATTAAATTTTTTTATCAATATATTTATTTATTAAACTTTTTTTATTTGTGTTGAGTTTATTTTATATAAATATTTAGTTTTTTAGGAAAAAAACGTTTTTAACGCATAGTTTTGTAATTTTTGTTGATATTATTGTTTGTTAAACTAGATTTTCACATTATATATAGTGATTTTAATAAAATTTAATTTTTTCTTAAGTTTATATTTTTTTTTGCTGAGGAGTTTTGTTATTAGTTTTAATTATCAATAATGGCAAATGCTGAAGCTATTTTTCAAACAGAGTGTATCTTTTAATGTTTATAATAAAAATAGAATATTCTTAGTCATATTTGAGGAGCTGAAAATAACATTTAAGTTATTAAATCTGTGAAAAGTTTGCTAAGATAATTTGCTCAGTTTACTATTTTATGCAATATATATATATATATATATATATATATATATATATATATATATATATATAATATATAATATATATTTAAATATGTTACCTATTAAGGTATTTTTAAGGTTAAAAAATGTTATATAATTGTTAGAATTTTCAGCTTTCTTATTTATATAGAAATAATTTTTTTAAGCTCCTCCATATTTTTTGTACTACTTATATACAGGTATTTTTGTTTCTATAGCTACTATTTTTAAATTGTAAAATTGTTTAAAAAACATTTATTGTCACTTATTTATGTTAATCAAATTTAGACTTGTATTTAATATATGTTTATAAAGATTTGTACAAGCATTTTATTTTTTTTCAGTTGTTTAAAAAAAAAAAATTTTTCAAGCAGTAAAATTTTGTGACACCTAAATTTTTTTTTTTTTACCACTTCCATTATTCCCTTTTATATCCTTTTTTTGCAAGTCAAAGATATTTAAAAAAAAATAAAAATGTTAATTTTCTTTTGAATAAAAAATATACATTTGGTTTTATATACATATATATATATATATATATATGTATATATATATATATATATATATATATATATATATATATATATATATATATATATATATATATATATATATATATATATATCATATATGAGCATACAAAAAGATATAAGCAGTGAAGTTAAAGTTGCTTTGTATTTTTTCGATCGACTTTATGTGGTGATAACAGAATTCAGTATAATAGCCTAAATTTATATACAGTAATTAGCAGCTCTCATATAATTAAAACGCTATTCAATTTTTTTCATTGTTTAAATATTATCATTATGCATGAAAGAATCTGTGTCACAAAATTTTGATGTTAAAATAATGAAACTTTAATTTTTCATAAAGAAAATATGTTGGCAAGAAATCTGTTCCATTTTTATTTTAAAAACATAAAAACATTTCTTTTTGACTTTATTTAAAGATACCAATTTTGTGTAATATGAGCATGCTCAAATTACCCAGTGTTTTTTCATTAAAGTTACCTAGTTTAAAGTCCTAAAATTGCAGTGGTTTTAAATGCTTTTTGAATAATAGCAAAACATAGTAAAAAATTTTTATATTTTAACAATAATAAATATCTTTCTGTAATTTAAATTCAAAAAATTTGTATTTTTATTATTTAAAGGTTTGAGTTAAAAAATAATTTTTTTTTCATAGTGTGTGTGTGTGTGTGTGTGTGTGTGTGTGTGTGTGTGTGTGTGTGTGTGCGTAAAACTGAGAAGTAAAATAAAAAGTGGCTTAAAATTTGATCTTTTTAAGAAAAGTTTTGTTAATAATGAATCAATGTATTCCACAAATTAATTCTAATTATCAGGCTAGTATTTTTTAACTTAATGTTATTTTTTTGAGCTTATTTGAAATGCTCACATTACCAAGTGGTCCCAGTAATATGAACACTTTTGTTACTTTTTTAAAACCTCTGTGTTTTTAAGAAAAAGTTTCAGGTGCCCAAAAATATCTAAGTGGATTATGAGTATTGATCCTTAAAAACATTTTTCTGCAAAAATTTTGGATCCAGCATGATTATTTTTGAAAATATTTCAATTTTTACTTAAAAAATAGGTGCTCGTAATACCTTAATCTGTTTTTTTTTTTTTTTTTTTTTTTTTGTTATTTATTGTTGTATGTATATATTATAGTATTATTATGTATATGTTATAGTATATATTAGGGTGGGTCATAAAATTTTTTTTTCTTGTTACAGGCTTTAAACATTGCTAGAAAGTTGTTTTTTATGTACTAATTTAGGAAAGTATTTACTTTTATGGATTGAACAATGTCTTCCACCCGCAACTATAATTACAAAAATTAGCAGGCCCTATTATTATTCAAAAAACGTTTTTCAAAATTATGTGATGTAGGTACTCAAATAAAGCGAAATTTTATAAAAAAATTTCAAAAATAATAATTTTTTCATATAAAAACTATTATTTTAGATTTTATTGCATAATAACAATAGTTTTTTAACTAAAAGTGAAAAAGGTGCATTTTTACATGTTTTTTAATAACAATTTTTTTTAGCAATATGATTTTTATAAAACAATTATTTATTATTTTTGAATTTTTTATAAAATTTCGCTCCTTTTGAGTACCAGGTTGACCTACTTTTGACAAACTTTTTTTTGCCAAAATATTAGGGTACCGGTAATTTTCCCAATAAAGTTGCGCCCTTTAAATCTATCATTTTCATATTTGATAGTATCAATATTAATAACTATTAACAATGTTTAGAGTCTGTAACAAGAAAAAAATTTTTTTTGACCCACCCTAATATATATATATATATATATATATATATATATATATATATATATATATATATATATATATATATATATATATATATATATATATATATATATATATTTATTCATATATATGTTATATATATGTTGTATATATTGTATATTTATATATATATATTATATATATATTGTATATATACTATATATATTGTGTATATATATATATATATATATGTGTGTGTGTGTGTGTGTGTGTGTGTGTGTGTGTGTGTGTGTGTGTGTGTGTGTGTGTTATATATATATATATATATATATATATATATATATATATATATATATATATATATGTATATTATATATATTTATATATATATATATATATATATATATATATTATATATATAAATATATAATATAATATATAATATATAATATATATATATATATATATATATTATATATATAAATATATATATATATATATATATATATATATATATATATATATATATATATATATATATATATATATAAATATATAATATATATATATCAATATATATATATTATATATATATATATATATATATATATATATATATATATATATATATATATATATGTATATATATATATGTATTATGTCTATCTGTCTTTATATATAAATAGATAGATATAGATACAGACAGATAAGTAGATGTTAATCAGTTTTATATATAATAATAATTTAATGATACATTAAACAAAAAGAAGCAGTAAGAAACTGCTGTTCGAATTATTTTTTTTATATAGTAAACTATTAGCTAGAAAGTATCAAAATGGATGTTAATGAAGAATTTCAAATAACACCTGAGGTAATACTTATATAATAAAGCATTTTATTAACTTTCTCTTTAAAAATGTATATTATTATATCTTTATTTTGATGTTAATTTAAAATATTTTCATATAAATTAAATAACAATTACATATCGGTATAAGTAGTTATAAATTAAATATACTGTTTGTTAATATATAAGTGCATAATATGCACTCATACTGTGTGCTTTTTAAAAAATAAATTTTAATATAAGCTTAAAAGTTTATGTATATTGGTTTGTATTTCGTTATATTATATGGTTTTATTGGTTATCTTATATGGTTTTATTTTATTGGTTATCTTATATGGTTATATTATATGGTTTTAATTGATTTTCTTATATGGTTTATATACTTATTACATTTTTTAATTAAAATACTTTTCAATAAAATTTGTTAAAGGTCTGATGATCTATTAGAAAATATTTTAACAGTCTGGAATAAGTATGAGTTATCTATTATTACATGAATTTTTTTCTTCATTTACCACCAATATAGATATTGAATATGAGGAAATCAATAACTAATGAGTAACTAAAGATTGATTTTGACTGCAGCCAAGTTGATAAAATTAAACTAGAGCTAAAAGCCTTGTTTAATGATGATCAATTATAGTTTTGTTATAACTATATAAGATCCTTTTTAATATATCCTATATAAGATCCTCTTTAATATATCCTATATAAGATCCTGTTTAATATAGCCTATATAAGATACTCTATAAGAAAAAAAAATTTAGGCAGAAAAATCTACACCTAAAATTACAATCAAATTTTTTTAACAGAAGAGTTTTTATATATAGAAATTGTATATAAATATTTTTATATGTAATATGCAAAATTTTTCAAATCACAATTTCCACGTTGTCCTTATTTTTTTATGCCTTTTTCCAAAATGCTAGAAATTTTCCAACACATAAAAAAAATGTCCAGAACAGTTTATATTTAGAACTAAAATATAAAAGAATTTATAATAGTGAAATAAAAAAATCCAGAAATGCTCTACTTTTTAAAATTACCAATTTTTAAAATTTAGATTTTAATAAATAAAAGAACTGTAATTAGCCATGTAATTATAGTTTTCATACTGTGGGAAAAAGTTGACTTTATAAATTTGATTGAATTCATGGTTTAGTTTTAATTTATAATCAATTTAATAACTATCAACAACAAATTTTGCTACAAAATAGGTAGATGAACAAATGTCAATGACAGTGCTAGTTAATCCAAAATTGGATGATTAAACAGATGCCAATTAAAATATAATTAAGTCAACATTCTAAACTTAAAATGTGCAAAGTATATCATGATGGTCCCAATTTAAATCTGCTAAAATAAATGTATATATGTGTACATGTATGTATGTATGTATGTATGTATGTATGTATGTATGTATGTATGTATGTATGTATGTATGTATGTATGTATGTATGTATATATGTATGTATGTATGTATGTATGTATGTATGTATGTATGTATGTATGTATGTATGTATGTATGTATGTATGTTTTTAAGGTTAATAATGTATATATTAAAGCCTCAGCATACATATACATATACCTAGACTTTTTGTTAAAATAAAAAATGATAAGAAAGAAAAAAATAATTGATAGCAAATCCAAAAAATCATGTATATTATGTCTATTACTTTTAAAATCTTTTTAGTTTTATTTAAATAATATCTATAAAGATATTTTGCAAACAAAAAATGCTAGATAAAATTCATCTCATCCAAGAATAAATTAGATAGTAAATAAGTAAACTTATTTCTCTAAAAGTATAAAATTTACCATTAGGGTGTATTTAATAACAATTATTTAATATTTATTTAAGATTATTAGAATGTTGCAAAGTTACACTAATGTATCATAGAGTTTCAGCAATTGTTTAAATGCAGCTCACACAACTTATGTTTAACATAATTTCAATGAGAAATTGCAGTTATCACATCTTTCTATTAAAAGTCTAACAATAGGAAAATTATATGATTTTTAAATAATAGTGCATTGGCGGAAAAAAAGTACCATGTACAGGGCTCGAAATAGCCGCCGGACATCAGACATTGTCCGACATTGGTCCGGTAAAAATCATCATAAATCGGTCATTTTGTCCGACTAATATTTTTTGTGAAATTTTCTTAAAATTATTTTAGTTATTTAAAAGTTATTGAAATGTTCAGTATATTATATATAAACTTTCTTTTTTATTTTATTTTTTAACCAAAAATGCCCAAGAAATTGAAAGTGTGCACAATGTGATGAAGTTCGTCATTCTTTGAGATAATTCAGACAAAATGGAAACAGTATTATGCCGCAAGAATTTTATTTAATGAGCAACGCTTTTTTTAACGGGGGTTAACATCAACACTTTTTTTACATTTTTCTTTTACATTTTTAAAATATCTTCCCCGTAAATATTAATATTTTGTAAAAAATAAAATTTAATACAACATGTTACGTTTTTAATAGTTTTCTGTTTACTGTGATTTAATTTTGAATTTGAAATTTTCGTAAGGTAAAGCTATTTGTTACTTTTAATTAAACTTATTTCTTATCTTATTCAATTTTGTGAACAGAAGTTTTTATTTTATAAATTTAACAATAAATATATTAATAAAATGTATAATTATATGAGTATATTATGTATTTTATTAATATAATTATTCACATATAATATATATAAGTTTAAAATATTTATGATAATGTGTTGTCATTATTCCAACTTAGGGCGTAATATTAAAAAAAAATGGAAGCAGTTTGCTCAGTTTGTCGTGAAAGAAATACAAAGTATACATGCATGAAATGCGCTGTTTTTGTTTGCAATATTTGTGCAACTCCGGAAAAAACTGGTGACTTATCTTATAGTGAGGAAATTAAGAGAATTGCCTTATGTTCAAAGTGTTCAACAGTTAAGCCACCGAAAAATAAAATTCAAAAAACTATATTTTCTTTGTTTAAACCACTTTTAGAACAGTCGCCTGCAGCTAAGTCTATAAATGAAAAAAATGCCAAAGAAGAAACAAGTAAGATCACAGCAAATCCTCGTAAAGTATCAGTATCGACAGTAGAAACTTGGAAGTCGGAGCTCGCTGAGTATTCACTTAGCGAATGGCTATTTTATGACATTGATTCAAATGAAAGAGTAAAAAACTTAAAATGCAAGTTTTGTACAGAGTTTAATGATACAATAAAAACTATGCCATACTATACGAATACATTCATAGTTGGATCAGCAAACTATAGAAAATCGAATATTCTTGATCATTGTAAGTCTCAACCGCACTTAAAAGCATACACTCTTTTTCTTAAAAAATCTAATAATTTTCAAAATGCATCTAAACCTTTATTGCCCTGTAAAAATAACGCAACAATCACTGATGGTTTGAAAAAAATGGAAAAAAACGACCTTGAAAAAACCCTTTAAAAATTTCAACTTTCTTACTTTATAGCGAAACAACAGTTACCTCTTTCAAAGTTTGTTCCAATTGTTAAATTAGTTGAGCTTTTCGGTGTGAATATGGGCGAATCCTATATTTCAGATCGCCAATGCGTTGTATTTATTGACTATATTGCAAGAAGTCTGCAAAATTCGTTACACGATAGCCTTAGAAATGCTAAATTTTATAGTGTATTGTGTGATGGTTCAACAGACAGTTCGGTAATTGAAAATGAAGTGGTGTATGCATTATATTTTGATCCACAGCCAGTTGGGTCGGATGCGGTTGAAATCAGGACTTCGTTTTTAGATATAAAATATTTAGAATCTGGAAAAGCCCAAGGTGTTGTAAAAGTTTTAGAAGAATGCTTTGTAAATTTGCTAACACCTATTAAATGCATTGGTTTTACTTCAGATGGGGCTGCACTAAATAGAGGCGATCAAAGTAGTGTGAAAACCATTCTACGCGAAAGAAGTCCGTGGCTTGTGTTTGTTTGGTGTGTTGCACACCGCTTAGAATTAGCAATTGCAGATGCTTTAAAAGATACAGAATTCGATCTTGTAGATGAAATTATATTACGAAGTTATTGCCTGTACCAAAAAGCACCAAAAAAGCTCCGACAGCTTCGCGAGTTATATACTGTTTTAAAAGACGGGATGGATACGCTTGATGAAAGTTGCAAGCCTAAAAAAGCATCTGGAACACGATGGATTTCTTATAAAGTTAATGCCATGAAGTCTTTCCTTGACAAATGGGGTTTATACATTACCCATCTTGAACAATTAGCTGAAGACCCATCGATTTTAGCTCCTGACAAAGCTAAAATGAAAGGGTATCTCCTAAAATGGAAAAAAAGAAAAAATACCACTTCTATTTGCATTTTTTATCGATTTACTCGAAATTCCCTCAATACTTTCAATGTCTTTTCAGGATGATCAAGTTGATCAAAAGCAAAGGAAAGATGGGTATTATTTGAGAAAAAAAGTCTCGAAAATTTGCCTAGAGTTAAAGATTTTCTTTCACAAATCAAAAAAAAAAACGGCAAACATTATTATCATGACATTGAACTTAAAGACTTTGAGCGTGAGTTTAAAATTTTTAAAACAAAAACTGTGGAGTATTTAACAGTAGTCAGGGACTGCATTATACAACGTGTAGAAAACGAAAAAGAAAGTACTCTTATTTTAAAGTATGCATCCCAAGTATTAAATTGCAACGGCTGGCTTCGGGAGGTTATAGCTGAAAGCGGAATCATAACGCGAAATTTAGATTTTGCCGATGAAGCTTTAAATTATATATGCGAACACTTTCAAGAGCCTTTACGCTCTGCTGCTGTTGTTTTTCCAGACATCTTAACTCAATGGAAAGAAATGCTAAGTTATGCTCAAGAGTTTTTATCCCCAGTTGAAACGCAATACCGAATTACCTGGCGACGCATATTTGTATCACCTAGAAGTAAATCATGGACCTCTTTTTTAACAGTTGCTGAGCTATTGTTTACTTTGTTAATTTCTAACGCTAAGCTGGAAAGAATGTTTTCAAAGATGAAAAGTGTCAAATCAAATTATCGAACCTCATTGACAGAATCTTGTGTTTCAAATATTTTGCGCATTTTGGAAGATGGTCCATTGCTGAAAGAATTCAATTTTCTTCCTGCAATTGAATTGTGGTGGAGTGATAAAGGAAGACGCCCAAACCAAAAACCAACGGGAATTTATAAAGATCGGGTAAACAAAAAAAGAACAATTACTTCCCTTAGCGACAGTGAAAATGATAGTGGAGAGGATCTTGTGAAATCTCTTTTTGATGACAATTAAAAGAAAAACATATTTTAATTGTGTAAAAATCTTTAAGCTTTAAAATAAATACAAAATACTGGTCTTGCTTTTATAATCAAACATATTCCTGACGAGAAAAGTTCGTTTATGTATAGACATTACGTTTGCACAATAAATAGCGTTAAATAGAGATAGTTAATACCAATACTCTAAAGTAAAAATGGTTAGCGCGATAGCAAACACAACTATTTATTATTATTATTTTATTAAAAACTGTTTTTATTCTTTTAGAAATGTTGTCGTTTTTTGCCAAAAAAGTCACAAGTTTTTAACTTGTAAGTCTAAACATGAAAGTATAACACGTTTTTTTTTTATACTTTCATAATCTAATTAACACCGCAATACTAATGACTAAGGGTGCACTGTTGCATCGGTCTTGGTAACCATCGGCCGATGCCGATTGTTTTGAAAAATGAGTCTTTTTAATTTTGTGTTTCTATATTTTATAAAAAAATATAATTATTATATTTTTTTATACAATATAGAAACAAAAAAATAAAAAAAATTGACTTTTTTAAACAATTGGCATCGGCCGATGCATCGGTGCACCCCTACTAATGACCGCACATACCAGTAGTAAATAATAAATCGGATATTAGTTTTAAAGTAAAAATATTTTTTGTTGAAATTTATCGGTCATGTCCAAACAATTTATCGGACAAACTGTCCGGAACAAAAAAGTACGTTATTTCGAGCCCTGCATGTATGTATTTTTGTTCCTTTTTATATATATGTTTTCTTAGAGAATGATTGTTTTTTTGTACCAGAAGGGAAATATTGATGGAAGAGTAGAGAGTACATGACTTTAAGTTCAATGTAATGGAATTCATTAAAATTCTGAATTTAAGATTAAATTGAATGAATAATCAATCAAACCAACTTATACAAATTGCAATAAAAAAAAGCAAGAAAAGAAAAGCTTTCCTGCTATGTGCCTGAATATATATTAAACTAGTGTTTATAGTTATATATTTTTGTAATAGTATCATAGTGATGTCACGTATTGTTATGTGTAATTTTAGGAATTGGAACGAATAAAATCAGCAATGAATAACAAAATTTTTCGTGATATGCTTATTGAGTATGCTAATGAAATTTCAGATCCTGCTAATAAAAAGGTAACTTTTTAATTGCGCGTAAACCCTTATTTTTTCTTAATTTGCCAAAACAAAATTTTGAGTATAATTATATAAAAAGCTTTCTTTGTGTGTGTGTGTGTATATAAAATATTTGTATATATATATATATATATATATATATATATATATATATATATATATATATATATATATATATATATATATATATATATATATATATATATATATATCACTTTTTTCAAATTTCGTTACGGCTAAGGAACTGAAAGGTGCATTTATATATATATAAAACGAAAAAATAAAAAGTTAATGGTATTTAGTCAAATGGCAGTTTGCGGATTAGCGATCAAAGTTTAAAAGTATTCTCATCAACAATTGTTATAACAAATTTAATTTTTTGCTTGTGGTTTTATACTTTTTAATACTTTCACATCAAATTTTTATTTAAAAAAATTGGACACACCAAGGAAAAACTTAAACTAAGTGTTAAAAATTATTGACACAGTGAATTATTTTTTTTATTAAGCAATTAGGTCATAAGTTGTATTTTAGTATAAATTTTTTTCTCTTCTTTTTTTTTTAGAGGTGTTATAAGAAGTCTTAATTTTCTGAAATTTTCTGAAATTACTTTTGTATTTGACTTAGCTCTGTGTAAGTTACACTTATCCACCAGAATATTGCAGATGTCAACTGCCAGTAAAAATAGATTCTTGATATCATGTTGTAAGGTTTCCAAGAGCTATGCCGAGATTTGAAAAATATCCGCCTTTGACCAACTCCATAGCATCTCTCAGAAACTTTTGAATTCTATGATCTGCTAGAGTTCTCTTACTTGGTTACCATTCATCATGTTCTATAGGTAAAAAGTAAAATATTAAAGATAAGCAAATTTAAAATAAATAAGTGTTAAATATATACCATAAGTTAAAAGTTTAAAGTCACGCAAACAAAAATACCTGAGGTTTTATTATTTCAACTACACATTCTAGGGGATCTAGTAATGAACTTTTGAGCTCATTATTATTTTGTTTGTGATGAAAAATATTTCCTTCTTTCTATTAAATCTTGTTACTGTGTATAGCAGGTATATCAACTGAAGATATAATAGTCCCTTCAAACTATTAATTTTTTTTTCTTTAGTTTTTCTTCCTATTTTTCAATTATTTACAAAAAATTAAATGACTTGTAAAAATGTTGTGACACTAAATAACTACTAAAATCTTATAACACTACATCAAAAATATTCTTGTAAACTTAAATCTTTGTTTGTCACATAGTAATTAAATTTTTTTTTTTGCAACAAATAATATTTTTTGTTTGTTAATAACTTTTTAAAAGTAAAAAATCATTATTTCAAAGTTGCAATTTAGCAAATAATTTTTTTAACCATTTTTTTTAAACAAATTTTACAACATTGCAAATTTTTTTTTAACAAGTTAATCTTTCTTTTCTCAACAAATATAGAGAAAAGAAAGATTAATTTTTAAAAATAAATTAAAACAAAATAGACATTCCACAAAATGTAAATTTTCCAAACTTCTAGATTTGTTTTTCTTAATTAGTAAAATAAACTTGTTTTGGGGTAGTTTATTTTATTTTAGTAGTTTAAAAGTTAATGTACTTAAATAAAAAATAATAATAAAGATAATTTTATGGCGTCAAAATCATGATGAGCTAATGTGCTAAGTCGTTTTCTATTTAAAACAAGGCCTGTTATATATATATATATATATATATATATATATATATATATATATATATATATATATATATATATATATATATATATATATATATATATATATATATATATATATATATATAAATATATATATATATATATTTGTCAAATATATATAATATATTCATATTAAATATATTTAACAAATGTTAGCTTTTTATGTAGTTCATTGTAGATAATGTTTTTTCGCAACTGTAGGTTGAGCCAATAGGTTCCACGCAAATTTGTGTGTCATGTAATTGAGTTCTGGAAAGTCATTTTTAGGAAAAATTCCAGAGTGTTTTCAGCTCTAAAGGAATTGATGACAGACAGTTTTTGAAATTTGTCTTATAATCCTGTTTGATTTTGAATGTCTGTGATTTCTGATTGCAATTTTGGTGACTAATGTCTTCATCTGATACAGTGAACGGGTTGATAAAGAGCAAAATATTCATATTTTCAGATTTAAAATCATCTAATTAAATGGTTGTTAAAATTTCAAACTAACAGCTTGGTTCTTTTGAAACGCAATACTGGTAATCTTACCTTCAATATAATAACTTTCAAGTGTTGGAAACAAATAAAGATTTTCTAGGCTGTTTGTAAATAGTTTTAACTTGGCCTTAAAAACATTAATTTGGTTAAATAATGTTAGATATAAACTGTTTTAATAATTTGTTATATCCACTAAAAATGCTAAGTCACAAAACCAGTTCTAGTTTTTCAGAAACTCTTATGTTAGTTAACCCTTTCACTCCCTGAGACCCGCACAGCGGGTCGTAACTAATATCGCGATTTTCCTTGTGATCCGCTGTGTAAATCATTTCAACTTCTACGATTTAAACACGGTTTTGTAGCGTTTTTTGTTGTGTTCTTTACAGATATGGAAAATAGAATAGTTATTACATCATAGGCTGAAAACCGTTCGTCAAAATTTATCTTAGTTAAAAAGATATAGCATTTTTAAAAATGGCTAGTTACAAAAGAACTTATTCAAATATGGAAGAAATTTGAATAAGTTTGAAAGCGGCGGTGATATGGACCTTGGTGAATTATCAGCCGATCAAAGCGAACCTGAAACAGATTGGGAATACGAAGAGGAAGATATAGAGTTTGTGCGAGCTCCTAATTTACCTTTATCTTATGATTTTCAGAATAAAAACTGTTCTTCTTTACCAGAATTTTGTCAAATAAATCATGTTTATAAAATCAATATCGATGAGGAGGAGGAAGAAGAAATTGAACAAAATAGTAGTGAGGAAACATACCCTAATGAGAACAAGGAGACCCTATTCCCTGATCAATTATTTGATTCCACCAGAGAAAATGGTATAGCAGAACGAAAAAGAGTAAAAGTTCGCGGTGGTATTCAAAAAAACAGTGTCAATAATAAAAATCGAATACTTCAAGTTACTAACAGAGGTAAAGAAAAAAAAGGGAATAACAATCGAGGTTGTAGAGAAAGGCCATGGGGTAGAAGAGGACAATCCAATGCTAGAGTTTTAAAAATTAATCAACAGGGAATTGATTTAATATCAACATGGGAACGTGTTAAAATTGATAATACTGCAGATCCAATTATACCTTTTTTTGAACTAGAGGGACTTAGAGTAAGAATGACGCATGAAAATCCTTCTCCTTTAGATTTTGTTGAACTATATATAACACCTAGTATTATTGAACTTATTGTAATTGAAACAAATCGATATGCTCAAGATTTTATAGATAAGAACCCGAATAAAGCAAGTAACGAGTATGTAGGAAATTGGGAACCGGTGACTGTTTTAGAAATAATCTTGCTCTTGTTTTGCTTATGGGAATTATTTATAAACCTGATATTCATATGTATTGGTCTACATCTGAATTTTTTAGCACTCCAATATTCTCAAAAATAATGTCACGCACTCGTTTTCAACTGATTTTGAAGTTTTTACACTTCAACAATAATAATGATCCAAATTATGATGTAAATGACGAAAACCGTGATCGATTACACAAAGTACGACCATTAATTGAACTAATTAGAGACCGATGTAAAAATGTATTCTGCCCCGGACAAAATCTTAGTGTTGACGAATCACTTGTTCTTTTTAAGGGACGGTTGCATTTTAAGCAATATATTCGTACAAAAAGAGCACGATTTGGCATAAAACTATATGAATTGACTACATCAAGTGGAATAAAACTAGATTTTTTGGTGTATTGTGGTAAAGGTATGTTTTATGAAGACGAAAATGAGGATATGCCCAGCACTGAGAGAATACCAGCTGCACTGATGGAACCTTTTTTAGATAAAGGACATATACTGTTTACAGATAACTTCTACACAAGCCCTTCATTAGCAACTTTTCTTTTAGGAAGAAATACACACCTTTGTGGGACAGTTAAATCAAGTAGAAAAAAGTACTGTAAAGAAATTGCGGAGTTTGCGTTAGAAAAAGGGGAGGCTGTGTTCTATCGATCCACAGTTGATTCACGTGTTATTGCATGTAAATATCGAGCTGTCAAAAATAAATCAGGAAATAAACAGAAAGTTGTATATATGTTGTCAACTTGCCATTCAGCAAAAATGATTGAAACTGGTAAAACCTATGCAAATGACTCTGCAATATACAAACCATCAATAGTGCGATCATATAACAGTCACATGGGAGGGGTTGACAGAGTGAATCAACAGTTACATAGTTTACGAACATTGCGTAAAAGTTATAAGTGGTACAAAAAATTAGCATTTAGAATGATTTCACAGATGATACTAAATGCACATAAAGTTTTTCAACACGAAACTGGAAAATGTAAAATAACATTCCTTGATTTTTTGCATGAAACTATTTCATCTTTAGCACTAATCAATCCAGCTATACCAAACAACCAAATACTAGATGATACATTATCTCGTCTTACTGGCAGACATTTTCCTTCTCTCAAAGTAGCTTCACCAGATGCAAAAGATAAAAGACCAACCAAAAGATGTAGAGTGTGCTATGCAAGAGGAAAACTATCAGCTAAATGTCAACCACTAAAAACTACATATGTTTGTCGATTTTGCCTATCTGAACCAGGGCTTCACCCAGACACTTGTTTTGAAGCTTACCACACTCAAGTTAATTATTTATTGTAGTTTGTTTTGTTTGTATTGGCAGACTTAATCTTTCTTTTTTTTTTTTATTCTACAAACATAATAAAAAATTTAACTTAAAAATAACGGTTTTTTCAAAATTCTTATATTTTTAGAATCTCTCCTTTTTCCAGAGTTTTTGTGTTAAACCTTTTATTTTTTTGCTATGAACTAGTAAAA